CATCACACATAATCCAAATTTTCGACTCACCACATCACAAAGTCCCATCCAACATATAATGACACACCAGTCACAAGATCATAATACTTATGAACAAATTATTGAACAACCCCATACCACCGCTTTTCAGTCTCAAAATAATCATTTTTTTAGCCCACGATGAGCCGCCAACTTGGATCACTACACCGATCAAATTCCCACCCAACCAATCTTACCTCTCCAATCCCAATAATACCACTTTTTGCTTTTCCGCCACCCGATTTTCCATCTAGTAATGTAACATCAGGCATGAATTCCGACACTAATTCACACATCTCAGTTTTATATTCCATCTCACAACTCAATAACCCGAATATTGAAACCCCCGATGAATTTGCCGACTCAGAACCATCCCCATCCAATAATTTTCATAACTCTTCTAATTTTTCTCAACCCCCTTTTCAACCCATATTATCCAATAACCCTGACCCAATCACTTCCACACCCTCTTATGCTTCCCAAGTTACCCCAACCTACTCCTCATTTCATTCTGACCAATCATCTCATTCTCCAGACACCCCCCGAATCTCCCCAGAGCTAGATAATTTTATTACCCTTCAACAACAACCCTACCACCTCCATACCCCAACAATAAACCAAATCTCCTCCACAATAAATTCATCCAACCCCCCTACCCCTACACCCTCTTCAAATTATACTGAATCATTAGCACCATCATCCACATCAACTGAATCTTCACTCAACACTAATAGAGCTTACCGCACTTTTAAAAGAAAGTTCCCCAACCATCCTTTCCCAGCAAAACCAGGAACAGCCCGTGAATACATCAACCACCCCAAGCATACTAACACAAAAGAATTTTTAGCCATCACCTTACCCTCATTCCCACAATACACCTTAAACACCCCCCACGACACTAACGAAACACGCAACTTTGTAGATGAATACGTTTTAATGCCCACTCTCTCTTGGACCTCATATTATCATTTTACTAACCCTCTTTGCTTACCTTTATCTAACACTCACATCGATATAGAGCGAAATACGGACATGCTATATCGACTCACTACACCACTAACCGCTAGACAATTTACTTACGTTGGATATAAAAAATCACTAAAAACACACACTGCACCTAGAGCTAACGAATATACACTCGAATACTATGATCACAACATCATCAGAGCTAACCAAGATCAATTCTTAGACGACGATCGCTTCGCTAATCCACAAATTACCGAGAAATTTTTCATCAAGACACCATATATATTTACACTAAACATCTTCGACCGAAAGTTTGATCACATTATTTCAGAAGCACTAACAGACACACAAGCATACGAAAGTTTTAAAGAACGCTTCCAAATATTTTCACTAACCTTTCATTTCCTTGCACCACACGAAAGAGATTTACACTGCTCACACGATATTATGTTGCGCACTAAACAAACCCACACATATAGTTATTATCGCTTCATCCAAAATCACTTTGACCTACACACACCCTCTAGACAACCACACCATCGTTTTCAATTCATTAATTCCAAATACACTTCACCATTTTTCCTAAATTTCACATATTGCATTAAAGATACTAACCTTCATGGTATTCTTCGCAATTATGATCCCATAACCCAAATGTACATCTTCTGTCCCATCACCAAGACCTTCAACGCCGAAGAATCCCGACCCTTCCTTATCCCGCACGAGTTTGTACAACCTATAGAAATCCCAATTTTAGAATTCATCCACAACACTAAATTCAATCACAAATTATATAATCTAATCCAAAACACACCTTATGAGTTTGCAGTTGGCACTGAAGAACTAACCACTATTAAGGCACTTCAATTGCTTTGGCCACTGCTTCAGACTAAAAATATCATCCGCATCTTAGCTAAACTACTAACAAATTCCGATCTCATCCACGACATCTTCCCCCACGGTTTTTTCCCCGACGACTAACAGGTAAGTATGAATTAAATGAATATTACTAACTAATTAAAATATTAAAAAACTCACCATACTTTATCCATGTTTTCTTTAGATTTTTAGCCTTCATCCGACAATTACCTACAAAAACCACAAAAGACAAATAAAAATCGCAAATTTCATCAAACAGATTTCAAAAATTCTATTAATCTCTTACACTTATAAATTTATAAATTTAATACCAATGCAGTAAATTCATTTCTAAAATTTTCCCCACAAGCAGTAAATCTAATTATGATGAAAATTTGTAACTTAAAATTCCCCCATAACTAGCAGTAAATTTCCAAATTCTATGCAGTAAATTAATAAAATGCAAATGCAGTACTAACCTTTTGATATTCTCATTCATTCGCACAGAAATTCTATCCACACTCGCACAGCTCGCCCACGAAGAATTGTTTAAAATAATGAATTTCAGTTTCAAGTTTTCACACTCAACAACTCTAACATATAATAACATGTTTCAAACCTTCCTTTAACCCGGTTGGAAAGGAATCATATACTAAACAAAACTAACCAACGCAGCTTACTAAATACCACAAATCATAGAATAACAGCATGACTAAGAAAAGGAAACCAACGGTACCCAAACCGGATTAACCCAGTTTAAAACTGGATAATTTATTCTTTTGAAGACTATTATAAAGTCTAAGAAAGAAATAATCAAACACAAAAAAGTCGAAAGACAAACCCATACCACGAACAATTTGCTTTTTGGAAAAAGGACATAACCAACAAGACATAAGAAAAACCACAACAAACCCAACATAAAACGTTGTCACATAACAGGACCCCTCATAAAAACCGCATGAAATCATACTCCCACTCCTGGCCTAACCCACCAGGAAGGACGTCCTGAGCATGCTCTATAGCCGGCCTAACCCACCGCGCTACATCCACGCTTTGTGACCACACCTCTATTTTTAATAAGAGCTACTCAAGGGTGAGTAACTCTTCAAAATAACCGAACTAAAACAAAAAGCTTTTGTGAAAACAACTAACTAAAATCATAATTAAAAAATATTAAACTAATAAATGTTTTATAAAATGTAAATTACATTATGCAATACATAGATCAGAATATAACACCAAGGACGAACATCTAAAGACAAAACGACCCCACTACACTCGAGAGAGAATGGCCAACCACAATCGATATGCCACTCACAATCACAACTCAAAGGATTTAGAGTACGACTTGACTTCGCAGAAAAGGACTTCATTGAGCTAGACCAATGACCACCTCGATGTTCAAGTATACGTACAGATCCGAGTAACCAGGCATCCCCTCCACGCACAATCTCCACGCCATTCCCAAACTAGATCAGACACAAAAGAAGTTCTCCACGCAGAACAGAAAAACCTGACATAGCCAACCATTCTGAAATCAGATTTGAGTTTGTTGCAAAGACTTAGTCGTTGTCACTAGAAGACACAACGTCTTATGTCTCTAACTCCAGCCTCCTGGAACTTCTTTAACAAAGAGGAAACGGAAGAAAATGATGTTCGCCAAAAACTAACGTCCATCATCCATCCTTCGAATCGCAGAAGAACTATTCTAAAAAACTCTGTAAAACCCGGATGGGTGGAACCTGATCTAAACTACATTTTATGATTGGATAAATTAGATATTTTACCAATGTAAAGTATTTAATATTAACCAATCATGATCCATCTAACTAACAACCCACTTATTTGTAAGTGCTGAAGTTACTTGTAATTTCAGCACCAGAGAGATTTGAATTTAACTTAGAAATTAGTTGGACTCTCCCGAGCACTTCAGCAGCCGCAATAAACCAGTATACCCTAGATCTATTGAGCCTAGCAGAGACTAGTTAAACAACCTGAGACTAGATAGTATAAGAGTAAGATTAGGATCGGTATTAGACTAAGAAGTTGCACGAATCTATCCGGCCGAAAATAAGATAGCGTGACGAGCAGACGGTGTACCCTATCCGAAATTACTCTATGAGTTATACACTCCAGTCCTAACTCACTGTGCTCATTGAGTGATGACATCAGATCATCTTGCATTTGTAGGAAAGCCATCTTGATCATTTTCAGAATTAGTTTCCACGTATCGCCTCTTGCTTTTTGGTACATTCGTAGCCATCAATAATAAGAGTGTTGAATGATAAAATAGACAGAATGCAACAGTTTTTGCAATCAATCTACTCCAACTTGTGAAAATTGCAGATTTAATTTAGTTTTTGTGATAACGTACAATCTTCAGACAAAGTGCTGACAGCCTCTTTTCAACAATAAGGTTGAATTTGCGACTCAACTGAGTATAAAGTTGTGGTCCTAAAAGAATTATCATTTGCAGGTTTAAAACTTATCGTTCCTTAACAGAGTTAAAGTAAACATCTAGGAGAAAAACTAACTGCGACACATTTCAGATAAATTGTAATGACGTATGAAGGATAGTTTGACATGACCGATAATCACCAACCTTTCATCTTAACGGCAGCGGTAAAGAGACTACGAGACTATTTTGCAAGCTTGACCCAGAACGCTCTGAAACTTCACATAAACGTTCGACTATGTGGCAGTATTTTCAAGACCTGTTCGTCAAAGTTCTAACATTTGTTCACTATCCACATACAAACTGGAGAATTTCATCCCCCTGGGTTTATGCACTGCTTAGCAACGAAAAAAACTACAATAAGTTCTTTAAGCTTGATTTTTCATTTTTGGTATAAAAACGAATCCGTCAACTAATATACGCCAACGAATAAAAGATTATTTGAATTCTAACTATATGCTTCGAATGCATTTACTTGATAAAGGTTAGAACGTAAACCCTGGGGGGACATGCTGCCTTTGCCTCTTAAAAATCTGCGGCAGGGACCCTGTACCAAAAATCAGCACTAGGCGGATAACAACTAAGATGAAATTTTAACGATTGATTCTTTAAAATGGGTTCGCTATACTAATGATTGGCGATAATGACCGTCTTAGATTTAATTTTAGTTATCCTTCTACGGGTGAACAAGTTCCGGTCCAACCTTCAAAGTCAGTTCATCATTCCCCTGGATAAAAGAGAACCATCATAATTGGAAGGTTATTATTACAGATAATTCTGTGACATTGACGTACAGTAGATGTTATCCTTTTCTAGTCTCTAAGTTATCGCTTAAATTATTAGTTACAGTAGGTTTTTTTAAATTTATCCAAGCTATCGATGAAAATAAAAAGCAAGAAACTTCAGCGAATCTCAGAATTTTGGTGCCTGTTCCGTTATACGACCCTGAAGATGGGGAAAAATGTCATTAACCTTGAGACTAAAATTCGATTTCATCCGTTATTCGGCGGATTTTACTCATCTCAGCTGAATTATTTAAATTTTGGCAATTGAACTAGTTCATTCGATCAAATTATATTATACTTCTAGATCATATTATACCCCCTTACACTAGAGTGAATTTCTTAGAAAAACCGTATTATATTCACTAATATAGCCAACAGAAAATTGAAAAAGAGTCATGAACGCAAGGAAACAGAAAAACATACTGGCTGTTTTTTGAAAAACTTTAAATCTCCAACTTCAAAGAAAAAATAGATGGCTTAGAGCTCTTTGAATTTCTAGAAAAATTTATGATTGAAACTTTTTTGATAAAATCAACCCAATTTGAGAAAGCTGGATCCAAAAGTAAATTTTCAAATTTGCTGGGAAATCTGAAAACCAAATTCCACTTTTGTGACTTCTACATTTTCGCTGTTCGGTAGTGGAGTTTGTCTTCCTTTTAACAAAATGAATGAACTGAACTTGAAAATAAATTAAAAGTCAAACCGGCAAAGTGTAAATCTGAGCCTGAACAAACTTTACAATTTTCCCTGAAAAAAAAAACAAAAAATCATCTCCAAAAGACCTATATAAGAGTATGGACTACGTACATCGACTCTTAATAAACCAACATTCGGGTTCCATTCTAGATGCATTTTTCGAACAACAAACAATAAGTGCAGTTAACACGTCACTCACATCTCTGCCCGTGTCCATCGTGTAGTCCTCAGGGAAGTTCTCCGTGTCCTCAATTTCTTCCACAGACAGTCTGATTTCAGGCACAGCTGGTGGCAATCTGAATAGCAAATTGCATTATTGTTACCAACTCAGGTTTGGTTTTAATGTTTTTTTTTTCATTCTATTTTTTTTTCTTTTTTTTATAACACGTCTTTTTTATGTTGTTAAAATTTTTTCTTTTCTGGTATAGACAATATCGAAAGGAAAAAACATTCATGTCCATAAAATATCGAAGTACAAAACGTGAAAATCAATATAATAAAACTAATAGCTACATTTTTGATGTGAAAATTTTTAAGACGAGAATGATTTGATTTCTTTACAAAACGGAGAAATGAGTAGTTCAACTTTTTTAGAAATCAGGCGTTTTTCCATTGTGGCAGGTTCTTCCACTAACATTTTTTCCATTGCGGCCTCAAAGCTGTTTGAATTTAATTTATAGAACAATTTATGATCGAGATTTTATGATGAAAATGGCTCTTTTCCCCTTCCCTTCTCAAACCCCCAACCCACCCACCTTTCGTATTTTCTCCTTCTCTAGTTGTTTCACGTGTTATTGTGGCTAAATGTGTAACTTTACTATGCCAAGTATGAAGAACAAATGTTCACAATTGTTAGTTTGTTCATCATACCAAGTGTCATTGCATTATGAAAAAAAAAAAATTTAACACAGAGGCGAAAAGGAGCAAACATAAAACCATACATAAAAAACATAAAAAGTCGATAAAAAGAAATATGTTGAAAGCATCTAGGTGAACCAAAATATTCATATATCTCGATTAAAGATAACTGGAGGTAGCTGTTTGATAATTTTGGAATTTGTTACCTGATAAGGGATGAAATGGCTAACTTGGAAAACTGGACTTTGCACAAAAGCTTAGTTGATTCTCACGTTCTTGCTATTGAACCCTTCCTTTCAGATTTGATAGGGTAATTTCTAAGAAAAAAGTTTCTAAACAACCACTAAGTTCAAAAATTTGACTTTCCGAACAACATAACTTTTTCTGCGATAAAAAAAGGTCAAAAACAGTCAAAAAATCAAAAAAAATGACTTTTTCTAGAACCAAAAAACTTTTATACAAAAAATTGGACATGAACACATATGTAGAAGAGCTTCCCAGATTCTCACAAACCTTTCTTTGATTGACCCCCAAAATTTCAGATTTGGGCGAGTAGTTTTTGAAAGAAGTCAGAATAAAAAACGGCCAAAATCAAAAATTTGACTATTAAGAAGGCCATAACATTTTGTGTCGAAAATATGGTCGTAGCTGCTGCTGCAGGGGAGATTAACAAAACCCGTTCTGCCCATTGAAGCCGAAATTTCAGACAGAGGCGACGCTGTGCTTCGCAAACACAAACGAGGAAAATGCAAAAAAGAGCTCTAAACAGGCAAAACAAAGTGAAATAAGTAAAAAAAACTAAAATACAAATAGACTATGAGTATCACGTTCTCGCATCTGCTCCGCAATCGCTTGTAACTTTACTAAAACTAGCCACCAATAAAGCAACTACAGTTTCTATCAAATTGCCTATGCTATGTAGCAAAAATTCCATCAAAAAAACTACTTCAATGTTCCGGACTTGAATCTCCGTCCTGTTGATTTGGAGTCTCACGTCCTGGCATCTGCCACGGTTGCTTGGATGCGCCTGTTTTTATGTTTTAGTGATACGGAAATGCGTAATTTTAAAAATTTCAAAAAAATGAACTTTATGCAAAACCCTAGAATTTCTCTGCTTAACTAGGGGATTAGCAGCTTATTTAAAGGAGAAAGCTACTACTATCTCTTTCAAGTAAATTCTTTCTCTCAGATTTGGCTGGGTAATCTTCGAAACAAGTGAAAAAGATTCCGAAAATGATCAAAACCCAAAACTCGACTTATTAAGTTAATATGAGTTCCCATGCCTACTAAAGCCTGGCAATAGCCTCTTATGCAGTACAAACTTCCACGCGCTTAAACTTCGTCTGAACTTTTAATATCAGATTAAGCTAGTGTTTTCTACTGATGATTTTTTTTTACAATGGTAAAAATTTCAAAAAAAGGAATAGTCCATATCTGCGTTTCTACAAACAAGTGGAGTGTAACATATTACGCAGGCAAAAACTAAGCATCATTTTAGTTTGCTAAGCTATCAAGCTCAGAATCGTCAGGCTAGTTATTGAAAAAAATTCAAAAAAAAACAGGAAACATTTCAAAAATTTGACCTTTTGTTTCAAAACGTAAGGCATAGACGATTGCGTAGAGGAGAGTCACGTAGCTGTTTTTTTTTCTTTCGGTTAAACCCTTAATCTCCAATTTTGCAGGTTAGTTTTTGAGAAAAGTATTAGAAAAAATCAAAATTAACCAAATTGTCAAAAAATGGGTGATTTTGAGGCCATAACTTTTTTTCTATCAAACTTAGGTCATAGCCGCTTTATAAGAGAAGATTTCCACGATTTGTTCTTTTGATTTAAGCTGTCATCTCCAATTTATGCTTTTAATATTTGAGAAATTAAAAACAATTAGATCAAAAACCCCCCTACTGAAACTTTCGAAGACCGTAGAACATGAGGTAAAATAAAAAGAGACCTATACCGGCCATTAGAAAAGCAGCCGATTTTTCCATTGGTATCATTTTTTTGAAAACAAGTACAGTAATTGCTGAGAAGAATTGAAACTTCTGCGGAAAGTGCAGAAATTTTCCAAAGCGTCGCAAAAAAAACAACGAAATCATACAGTTTAATGATACCTGTTTTTTTTTTTGAAAAAACAGGACCTAAGACAAGCCAAAAATACAGCAGCAACATATGCCAGTATATTGCCGTACTTCAATATGATTAAATTGAAATATACCAAAAAAGCCACAAAATGAGCACTTTTATTTGCGACTAAAGTTGGAAAAAACTTTCTTCGTAATAATACACTACGCTTCGCTTGAACGAAAAAAAATCCAAATTTATGGGTCAAATATCCCCCCACATAATTTGTCGAAGGCTGTAGCAAGAAAGTTAAAGCAAAAAGAGACTAGAGGATTATGCAGACACCCAGGGGAGTAAGCGATATTTCTATTGATACGCCTTTTTTGACAATGAGCAGAGTAGTTTTTTACTGAACTAACAACTTAGCAAAAGTGAAAAAAAAACTCGAAAGCGACTCAAAAAAATTAGCGTTTAACGCACCTCCGGTGCTTCGAAATTTTTCGACAACTCATGAAAACCCGCATATATTGGAAACAACATCTGCAAAATTTTAGTGCACTCTGACTGCACCCAATTACAGGGTTGGTAATTTCGAACTTTTTAATTTTTTTTAATTCCCATTTTAAAAGCGTCATCTCGAAAACTTTATGGGCCTTGTGGTACCGCAACTGCTACTGCCATTGCAGTAACTATGCAGTCCTCATATATATTGGCCTTGATAGTGCTACTTACATCTGCCACTGCTATCGCAGTAATCAGATAGTCATCACATATTGACCTTGATAGTGCTATACATATTGTTATCTATAAATTATATAATTCTATTATAAAAACCAAGGTCAAAGAATACGTGACCTTTTTAGAAATCCAAGAGAGTCAATCTCTCAGGCCTGTGGCTAAGAACACAGTCAGTAACAAACTAACAACAGAAAAGAAACGGTTTCAATATGGTTAATTAAACTCTTACGAAACCACTTCAGTTTTCACTATAAAACCTCAGAGGTATTGTTAGTTACCACATGGCGCAGCCAGCAGGATCCGGTTTCACTGCTCAGGATAATAGGACTGATCTAGGAATCCCAGTATTTTGGGCATCCGCAAATTCAGACCCACCTTGGAGTTTTGAAACGTGGCTTGACCAGTTCCTATTAGCTGTTACAGTTAAAGAGAATGTGGATCCAGAAATAATGTTACAAGAACCCAAACCGGTATTAGAAGAACCTTTACCAACTCCTGAAACACCAGCACAAAACGAGGATGAGATTGCGACAACAGAAAGAGAAGCTCGGAGCAGATTGGCTCGAGATAGAGTGGTTCAAGAAAATGAAGAACGGACACTAAGAGGACCTAGAGTGGGACACAATGTATTCTATCACGAAGTGGGCAAACGGCTAACATCGAGATTATTCCTCGCTTTAGGAGCAGAAGGGAAGAAAAAATTTATACAAAAGAACCCTCACACAGAAATATCCAAACTAGGGTTTCGCGATATAATTCGATTAGCAAAACTCTCATTTGAGAAAACGAAATGTATTACCTATGAGAGATACAAACTGTTCACACGATCCCACGAATCAAATGAAACGTTGGAATCTTTTCATGCCGCACTGACTGCACAAGCAGCAAAGGCTGAATTGGGAGCGTTGGAAGAAGAATTGGTACGAGATTTATTCATCTCAAGAATGAAAAATGCTGTCCTCCAAGACACATTGACTTTCGAAACATTCTCTCCAGAAGAAGTGTTAAAACGTGCACTAAAGTTTGAATATAGCAAACAAACAACTCAAGCATTCCAAAAATCTTCAAACACAAACAGCTCAGGACTGTTTACAACTCCACAGATGAAGATTAAACAAGAACCAATTATGGCAATCGGAAACAAAGGGTATAACCCTAGACGTCAAAATCAAAACAGAAGAAAACAGTACGAAAATAAACCTCCAAAAGGTAAAGGAGATCAAAAACAATGTACGAGATGCGGTAGAGCATTTGTAGAGAATCATTTAAAAAATTGTCCGGCAATGGGCAAAACATGTAAAAATTGTAACAAACCTAATCACTTCGCTAAAATGTGTAGGTCTCAACAAATTAACGAAATTGCAAATGAAGATTCGAGCTCGGGGGAAGAGTGCAATCTTATACAAACATTCGATTCATGTGATGATTTTGAAATCATGTCAGTAGAGGAAGAGTGCACTTCCATCATGGACATAGAAAAGTACATCACAAAAAGGATTTCGGAAAATGCGTACAATAACGAAAGAGGTCAGAATAGAGCATTGACGGAGAAGTCGGGTAAAATTGAAAAGATCGAAATTCGCAGAAATCCCAAATCGCATCAAATTAAAGCACTTAAAGCTTTGGTTAAGATTGATAGTCAT